TATCTATATTATAAAAACGAAATGCCATTCTTTTGTCCTTAACTCCTCCCACAATTTTCAACCGATCTGAACCAAACTTTGCACACTTATACTTTGGACCGAGATCTAGGTCACCATGAGGTTTTGGAACAAATTGGACTACTCCATCACGGTCGTTTTTTAATTTTAAAATATTTGTACGGGGGATGGTCAAATTCGGATTCTTCGGCCCAAAATTAGAGGAAGAGGTAGTTTTGAAGTTGGTTTAACAGCCATCGTTGTGTAATATGAGTTAAAGTGTTTTATCACGGTTATCACGGTTATCATGTTTTAACATATTTAACACGGTTATTGAGGTCGGAAATCATGGTCTTGGACTTAAAATTGAAATTAATATTGAATGAACAAAATTTAATAAAGTCAAAATCTATAGAGGTAGTAATTTCAGAGATAGGCTAGAGGCCGGCTAGTATCTTATAATACAATTCGTATTCTATGTAGTTTGAAACAATTTCTCATTTAAAACGTCATCTTGTTGCCAACTCATTAAAATCAACATCGTTGACTCAAAATATTAACAGCTACATCCCTTGTGGAAAAAAATGACTGACTGACTATAAATTAAGTTAATTTTAATCACTTTTATTCGGTTAAAATTACCAATAGTTGATTGAAATCGAATATAGTCGGTTATGTTTCAGAGTTAACTGAAAGTGATTATAGTCAACATAGTCATATACTCATAGTTAACCGTAGTTAAGACGCATATAGTCACTTATAGTTAACTTTAGCTGAAATATCAGCCATTTTTGTCCCAAATTAGTCAATTTATAGTCGGCTATGAAGGCGAAATATTTCCACAAGGGATCAAAGTTGTAAATTTACATTTTCTTTTCAAGCGAGACACATGAAAATACTCCAAATCGTAGTTGTTCTCATTCATGCGCATTCAATTTAACAGTTAATGACATTTCATTGTTTTTTTTTAATGGCGATAAGATTTGATAAGAACTTTTTTTTTAGAAAAAACGTAAAAATCCGACTTTTCGACGTAGAAAGAGTTTCTAAAGTGCTTTCATTGTATATCGAATTGTGAATCTGTATTTTTTTATGATTAAATCTCTCAATTCAATGGTATTTATCTACAATAGCTTTATCCTTTGTCGAATTTCTCATACTCCGTGACACATCCGTGTCAATGAAGTAATGAAAGGTGATTTTCAAAGGCTTAAGCCGTTTCAACTTGCGTAAAAATTGACGTCGGCGAATTTTTGTTTGTAAAAATAAAAAAATGACGCGGCATATAATGAAAACCAACAGCAACCATAAAGATTAAAATTAAATTCATTCAAAAATCACACTTTGATGAAGAAAAACATTTTATTTTAATCGATTTATTGCTTACAAAATACATAAAGTCTGATTTCATGAATCATCATTCATGAAATTGTAAAAATTGTACCTAATCTAACGTCGTTTTATGAGTCAGTTTTTTTTACAACTAAATTAAAATAATATGGTGTAAGATTTGGAGTGCAGACATGCAATTATTAAATTTTACAGTTCTTTGTACCGTAATGATTCGATAATTTCTAATAAGCTGATGTATGAGCCTAATATGAATCCAATCAGGCCGAACACTATCAAAAATGCATTTTTCCACAGAACATAATTGAATTTACCGTATCCCGGTTCGTAGTAGTAGATGATCAATTCGATGACTGATGGAATTATGAGGCCGAGTGTTGATAAGCACACAGCACCGACCAATGAAATGAATGGCCCAATGTTTGGGATGGAAATTGCTATTAAAACGGTACCGATCACTATTACAGTTCGTAGTATGTTTTCGACAATAGTTTGTTTGCTCTCCGAAAATGAGCTCCGGACACTATTCCAAATGATTTCCATGGGTACGTAAAATTGCAGCGCATATGTGAATAGTATCGCAATTGCAATGCTCAATTTGACAGATTGCGCCAGTCTGGTAACAGAAATAAGAAGTTTTTTGTTAGGAATTTGAGAAAAATCAACTTTTAGATACACATACTTCTCTGTGACGGGTAAATTCAATGTAATGAATGGTTCGGTATGTTCGCCATATTTCAAATAACCAAGAAATCCGATGCCAGCATACATAAGAACAACGATTGTCATGCCGATATTCAGAACGCCAGGGCAACCCAGAAAGCTTGACGGTGTTTTCATATTGTTGTACAGTGGCATTACCTATTGAAATAGATGGAATGAGTGAGCGGTTTCTTCTTTAATTTTGTTAGGAAGTCACGAAATTTTCGAGAAGTCCTGTCTGACTGTTTTTTTGATTTTTTGAAAAAAAAAAATGATAAAATCTTCAAATTTCAGCAAAAATGACTTTCCCACAATACGTACCACACCAATGCCTTCTAGTGCAAAAATGACCTAAAAATCCAATTGAAATTATTGCATAAATTATTTAATCCAAATTATCTTTGGAAATTAAGAGAAATGTTTCTCACCGTTCCAAAGAACATCGGCACTTTATTCCACTCGGCTATAAATGGTCGTTCATTGGGTGTTGGTAGGTCTTGAAAAATGTAATACATTGTAATTCCCACTCCAGTCATGATTAGAATGTTTGCAATAACCGACAATGGTGCTAAATTCTTCAAATTTCGAATCAAATTGATTGGAATCAATATCGGCAATAAACACAGCATATACAATTTTAAGCTCATTTTAAAGTCAGGATAGTAATTTTCCACCACTTGATGAACATTTTTTGCGACGAACGACGTATAAACCACACAACAGCCAAGCAGATCCAGCACGAGAAATGTGTTGACAAGAAATCGAGCAAAACTTGACCATTTACGACACGGTTTTGGACCCGATGAAAATGCCAGCTCGACGATTTCGGCAAAGCTTAGCGATGGCAATTGCGCACGACGGCACAAAATATACGAACATTTGACCAGAATATGTACGCAATATGTGCATATTGAACCAACAATGATCGTTGAAATTAGACCAAACCAAAGACCACTGTTTGAAAATGCCAATGGCATTGAAAGTATGCCAGACCCTAATGAACCCTTTAGCAAATGAAACAATGTTTCACTATCACTAGACAAATAAAAAAGAGTACAATCATTTTTTTTTTGCGTTGACCACAATTCAATGAATCAATTTTACTTACGTTGTTGGATGTGACACCTGTCGATGCTCGAACGGATCATACTCATGCGATTTTTTATCACGCGGAATTTTGACAACAGAAAATGTTGAATCTAACGAAGAATTTGACACCGTTTTTCTCTCAACCATTTTTTACTGTTTTTATTTTTGTCATACGAAAACTACCGATCTTTATTTATTTTAAAGAACAAAAAGAGATAATTTTATGATTTTATTTCTAAGTGAAAATCTATTCGAAGCACGTTATAAAGATAATATGGTTGATAAATTGAATCGTGTTTGGCCCCCTTTTTTTCTGGCGTATTTAAGCTAAAATTTAATGAAAAAAAAACACAAATTATTTAAAATCCGATTTTGTTTTCCTGAAATGTTCCAAATGTGAAAGTTTTTCCAAAAAGTATCTGAAGTTCAATCTTACGTGTCAGAATAAGTGGGCTGCAACTTTTCGAATGATTGACGCGATGTATGACCGTCGACATGATAAATGATTGCGGATTATGTCAGCAATCGCAAAATGATAACAAGTAAGATAAACTTATCCGTCAGATAAGTGGGTTTTGTTCTTATTATCGCAAATACGTTTGATGGGCTATAAATAATAATTCCAAAAAAATCTATTTACTCGTACCGTAAGTACATCGTAAAAGTTGTAAAATATGAATTAAATCTGAGTTTATACAATGAATTTTATGGAAAAAAAAAACAACCGTAAAACTCAATTGTATTGAAATTTCTTCAAACTTTCAGAATGTTAGCTTTTTGTGAAAAAAATAACATCTGCAAATTTTCACATGATTACGATATCATACAGGCATTGAAAAGTCTATCAAAAATTATTTGTATCGCAAAACTAATATCCGATTCAGTTTTCTCATGAATTCATATTTACGGTAAAAGATACGTAATAAATGCATTTTGTGGATCACAGTGCGGAAAAGTTCATCCTACGGATGTAAGACATTTTATTTTTCATTCAGTTTCATTGTGACAACAATGACAATTTCGCGGGGTTTTTTTTTTGGTTGGGTAAACGTCTGACTTGTGATTGCCGTAATTTTTGTCGTTACTTGATCCAATGACGGAATGCGCCCATCTACTATCAACCTAAGTTACTTAATCCAAATTACTGATCTTGACCCGAGGATGGACCGATCCGTAACGCAAGATATTTTTTCAATTGAGTATGCAAGTGGAAAAACTTGCTGGAAAAACACTTCATAAAGTTGATATCATCACAAGTGAATGTGGTAGATTATGATGCTTTTGGAAATTCCAAAGCACAGCATTTTTTTAGCTTCAAATGAATTGTTTTTGGTGTTAACTGAAGTAGCAAAAGTTGAGTCAAAAGAAGAAGAAATATGTCTGACGTTAATTTTGCCATAAAAATTATATTTGAAACACTTTTCATAACTAAAGTAACAAAAAATTTGGATTTTTGTATGGGAGCCATGTCTGTATGCTACCTCAGTGGCGTGAAACTTTGTACAGGCTCCCATACGAAAATGCAATTTTTTGTGATTTTTTCAAGGAAACTGTATCAAAAATTGATTGTATCTCAAAACTAACCTCGGATTCGGTTTTCTCCAGGCATGAATTTTTTATCTATCAACCAAAGTCGCTCAAAATCTAATGATTTCTATTCCTCGCGACCATCAATCATCCTGTAAAGTCAGATTTTGAATTAAGTTTCTACAATGAACGCAATCTTGCCGTACCGAAATTATTCCCAAACTGTCACAGGGGGGGTCAAATTGACTTTGGTCTCGATGGGGGGGAGGGGTATTTATATGGAAAACTAAAATAAAAATTTTGCATGAGAGAAACAAGTAAAAATGTGTGTCAGCGTATTTTTGATATTTTTTGTACAATTATATTGTAAATCTGAGAAAAAAATTCTAAGAGGTATGAAACCGGTAAATCTCCTAAAAATTTACCCGGGGGTGAATTTTGAAAAATTTGCCTCAGGTGGGGGTCAAACCGGCCCCCCAGCGCGCATGTGTGCCGCCAAATAGTGAAAAGACTTTTGTTCAGTTGCAACCAACGGACTGGAACTCCATAGTTGTCCGTAGTGGTGCTAGCAGTGCTACAGTTTTGCATTTTATACAGTCTCTTATGGGGCATAATTTCTGTGTGAATCTTGCTAACAAATTTTGCGTACGACGTACAACGTACAACGTACAGATTAACAAAAACAATGTTTAAAAATGCCAAATTCGTGTTCTCTGACCTCAATAATAGGTAGAAAATATGTTTCTGAAGTTTTCAAAATTTTGACCGATTACAATACTTTTCACCTTACACTATGTGTGCGGAAAAGTAAAATGATCCACCCTATTTGCGGTGATTAAATCTTCAAATTCTATCACGTTTATCGTGACGTGTAAAAATTGTTCATGTTATCGCCAATACAATAAATGTATTTAATCAATAAAATTGTTTGTTCAAGATTTATGGCGTTATTATGATCGAATTAGAATTATATTGATGTAATCGTTTAAATCAGAGTATCATGATTTGCTGCTGCTCAGCATATAGCTAAGAGCTGAGAAATGCTGAACTCGTGCGGCTAACGCATACGAAACGGATGCACGATACACATTTCCCTTTCGCTTCGTATGTGCTGCCGTTGACGCTATTGCCGGTACAACGGTAACACACTATACCAGCGAACATACGAAGTGAAAGGGGAATATGTATCGTGCATCAGAATATATGAAAGACTGAGAGCAAAAACAGCACGTCGCATCTCATCTCTTGCTTTCACTTACGTAAGCAAAATAACGAGGGATGCGATGTGATGTTTTTCTCGCAGCTTCTCATATGTCGGTCGCAACACAATTTCAAACTCAACTGGTTACTAAGTTTTGAGTTTTGAATTGAACATCCAATCAACTATTTATAACCGTTTAAACGGGAAGAATGCATGTGTGCGTGTCATCCGTTTCGTATGCGTTAGCCGCACGAGTTCAGCATTTCTCAGCTCTCAGCTATATGCTGAGCAGCAGCAAATCATGATACTCTGGTTTAAATGTTGATAAGTCTAACAAAATAGGACATCAAAATGGAATTCTCTTTGTTTCAAATAGGTCATATCGTAATGCAGATTAGTGAAAGAGGAATGAAAATTCTCATCTCACTTATAAAATATGTACAGAACGTAACAGTGTTTCAATAAGGCTCAAAATTTCTTTGTTTGTTTATTGAAATTTCGTGATTAAAAATATGAGTGTTGAAGACAGTGTTGATTCGAGTTTGGACACAATACTAACTGAAGTTGGGGTATTTGGCATTTCGGAATTTTATTCGTATACACTGCTATTTATTGCAAATGTGGTGGCTGCAAGCTTTGTCCATAATTACATAATTTCAGCAAATACACTCGAATATCGGTAAATTGGCCTTTAATTCAAGCATATTTGGTATGAATTCAAAATTTTGAATGGAAACCATACAAAACAATAATGATGTTAATTTAGATGTAAAGTGCCTGAATGTGACGTCGGTGGAAATAATCGTGATATAGAGTATGATCAACCATGGTTGCGCTTTGGCATTCCAACATCCGACGATGGTCTTTTGAAAGATTGTGTTCGTTATGCGCCAATAAATAAATCACTATCGGGAGCATTCAACGGGTGTAGTGCAGACATGTTTGATAAGTCACAAGAGATAGAATGTTCCGAATATATTTACGCTTCAGATGAGCGAAACGTTCAAACAGAAGTAAGATTGATTTTATTTGCAATTTTCAAAAATGTGATGTAATTTACTTTGGAATTCGTTATTATGTGAAATTTTTTGTTTCAGTTTAACATCCACTGTGCGGACACTTACAAATTAGCATTGGTCGGAACCGCCAATAATGCTGGTCGATTTTTATTCATGCCATTAACGGGACTTTTATCAGATAAGTTAGTTTACGATGACAATACTTCAATTAGAGAATAGAGATGAATTAAAGTAGATCAGTTTTGACACGACGTCATATTATTACGTCATTACTATCTATAAGTGATTGAAGAAGTGGATTTGTATGGTATATTTACAATGAGATAAGAAACTTTTCATTGTCTTATGTTTTCTTACTTTTTTGGTTTTAATCAATTTTTGACCTCCAGATTTGGTCGACTGAGGGTGATTGTCATTGGAATGCTTTGCAGCAGTGTGTTTGGCATTATAAAATCGTTTTCGATCAATTATATCATGTATACGGCGGTAAGTTTGAATCTTATGAAGAAGGAGAGGGTCTGCTTTTGAAGAAGGCTCCTTCACGTAGGAGATAGCTCCTCACATATAGTGGAAAGATGACTCTTCCTGCATGTTTTGATGACAATCACTTCTTAAAAAATTTGAGATTTCTTTCCAAAAGTTCAAGCCTTTGATCTTATAGATAATCTAAACGTTTCTTTCTCTCTCTCTCTTCCTTCCCCCGGACATAGCTGGAATTCTTAGAATCGGCCGCAGGCACATCCACGTACACATGTTCTTGTGTTCTAGGCGTAGAATATGTGAATTCGAAGCACCGCGTCCTAGGCAGTTCGATAGTGTTCATGTCATATCCTATGGGTGCAGTCCTCTTAGGTCTTGTTGCGATGTACGTTTCCGATCCACCATTCAAATTCTCTACATACCCGGATTGCTAGCAATCTTTTATTACTGGCTAATTCCGGAAAGTGTGCGTTGGCTTTTAATAAGTGGGCGCGTTGATCGTGCCATAAAAACATTGAAACGAATTGCATCTAAAAACGACAAACAATTATCCGAATCATCGATAGACACGATGAAATTGAAATACTCATCGGATGTTATTGCAAAAAATAATGCGGTCGATGCCGAAAATCATTCCGTTTTGTATTCCCTTCGGTTAATATTCAAGTCGAAAACATTGTTTTTACGATTCATGGTTGGATGTTACCTATGGATGACATGCTGTTTTAGTTATTACGGTTTGAATTTAATATCGACACATATTCCGGGTGAGAACCGGTACTTGAGCTTCATTCTCGTGGTGTCGGCCGAGATTCCCGGTATAATTGTTGCATTGCCATTGATGAAACGAATGCGCCGCCGACGATTGTTATTCATTTTCTTTTTAATGTCAGCCATTTTAACGATTATAACTCCATGGATCCCGAAGGAACATTCAACATTTGTACTGATTTCGTTCATGGTGGCAAAAGCGTCAACATCGTGCGCATTAAATGTTATGTACATTTTTACATCTGAACTGTGGCCAACCAATCTCAGAATGACCATCTTGAACTCATCGTCGATGATCGGAAGAGTAGGGGCTATGATTGCACCACTTATAGCTATATTGGTAAGTAAAAGGATTTTGGAGCATTTTGATGTCGGATTTTTGTAAAGAATGGCAAACTTAGAATTATTATTAATGCCGTGAGAATAAAAAAAAAGATTACGCGTCTTATTATTAGGCTTAACTTGCCATAACCAGCTTCGATGAAAGTGTCAAATATATTTGCCATTTTACGAAAAGCTCACATTTTCTTCTTAAGCACAATAGAATTGATACTATATTGATTTTTTTCCAAATCCAGACCACGACATATCCCAAACTTCCAGCATTGCTGTTTGGCGGCACTGCCCTTTTTGGTGCATTTTTTGCGGTATTTTTACCAGAAACATACGGAAAAAAGTTACCCGACACGATTCAAGAGGCAAAAGATTTAAACTAGGCTATGAATAACATTAAATCACACATTAAATTATCTTTCTAATATTTTTGATAACATTAAATATATTCGAACAAAAAGAAGCATTTTTTATTTTAAAAAAGAATAAATAAAATAGTGGTCTAAAATAACTTTGACAAATTTAGTACGAATAGTTAACTATAGTTAGGTAAAGGTAATTAAGAAAGGAAACATAATGATATGCCCATACATTAATGACCTTTCTCATAATGAGAATGTCACTACTATCTCTTTTACCGAGTTGGGTATAAAAGTGGATGCATCCTCTGTTTTCTTCAGTTTCATCTCTTCTCTTAAAGTGGAAACATCTAAAACGAAGTGAATATTCATCATTATTCTTTAATGTAAATTCAGAAATAGTCATTTTTGTTAAAAAAAATCATCAGTTTTGTGTATCCTAAAAAAATGGCATCATCTAAAAAAGTTTCAGAGAAATCGGGTTCGGAGAGTAATACTTTCGCATCGAAGAAATGGCGGAATTTGTATTTGGACAAGAGAACTGCCGACATGTATTTTGTGTGCGGTATTGAAAAAGAACGCATACCAGCCCATAAACTGGTTTTTTCCCAGACAAACCCTGTATTCTTCAATATGTATTGTGAAAAATCCGATGCAAATGGTGTACTTGAATTGAGAATACCACAAGTATCACCGAACCAGTTTAAGGAATACCTTAAACTAATTTATACGGATGATGTAACCTTTCTCGCTTTTAGCATTATGGAAGTGCTTGGTCTATCGGATATTTATCGCATGCCAAATGAACCGGAGACATTCGAGGCAAGCATTCAAATCGTACAACAAGTGCCCAAAAATATTTGTGATGAGCTAGACAACAATAGCATCCAAAGAATTCTTCGAAAAATACCCAACGTCCGAGACTATTTGAATGTAGCAAAAACGTGCGATAAATTTCAAGATAACGCAATTGCAGCCTATCCAACTCGGTTTACATCGTTACGCATTAGTAATTCTGAACAAGGAGACAATGTTCTGCGTGAGAATGAAGTGAAGGAATATCTACGCATTTTTGTGGATAATCAAAATGGTCCGACCAATTATGAAATGGATGACAACACTCTTGTTTCCATCGAAAATGTATCATTTGGTGAATATATGATTTTAAATTTTTATATAAATTCGAAATTGATTAGTTTGACCTTTGATAAAAACACCAAATTCGGTATGATACACCATTTTCCAAATTTAATCGAATGTGGTTTTTATGAGCATGCCTTAACGACTGAGGAAATAGCTGAATTTCTAGTATATAATCCTCAGTTGAAACGATTGGTAGTAGCTGAGATGGCTTCTCCAAGAATTTTTAAATATATTGGAAATTGTGGAGAAAATCTCGAATCTTTGGAAATCCTGTGCGAAATTTACGAGAACTCAGACGACTTGATTGAATTATGCAAGCTGAAACATTTAAAAACTTTCAAATTTGGAAATTTTTCAGGAGAAGCGGTTCCTTTAAACCAATTATTAGAGGGATTTGCCAACAATGATGTGCGCATTGAGAACCTTGAATTGCTATCTCACGATTATATGTTATATAATTGGAGTGACATACGAAGTATAACAAAGCTGAAATTTTTGGAGAAATTACATATTCAAAACATATCACAGCAGCAAATGATTTATATCGATTGTAATCTACCCGAACTCAAAGAGTTTAACGTTCATGTTCCGCACTAATGTGCGTCAATTCGCTGCCAGAATGATTGATGAACGAAATAAAAAAAAATCATTACTCTTCAAACTTCTTATGGTGGCACATTCACTTTGGTAAAGCTTACTAAATGGACCTTTATCGAAATGTATCATTGCAGCTTCCTTTTCCAATCAAGTAAAAATCAATAAATAATAAAAAAAAATTCGTTACTTTATTTATTTTATTTCTTTTTCATTACCCAAACAGTGGCATATAAAAAAATTGCATCATTGAATCAGAGGTCAGACGCAATCAAGGAAATTCTGCAAAAAATATTCTAATCACCTATATCACAATCATCTACTATACAATGCTTTCAGGTCAAATTAAACAAATTATGAAAAAGTAAAATTTGTGAGGATCCAAATTCCACGAAATGATTTATCAAGCCTAATAATAAAGTTGTAAAATTTAAAATGAAAACATATTTAATGTCAAAGATAAAAATAAATGAAAGCAATAAAAACAATTACCGAATAATGTTTTTAAATCTAATTCTAACGAAGAGACATGCAAATAGATGAAATAATTTTCACTAATAAGTCATTAGTAATGACTCACAGCTCATTAGTCTTTAAAGGGTTAACACCGCTAGAAATCAGTATCATTTGTGATTGAAAATTTCAACTGGGTTCACTTCATCTCATCACCCGTTTTCTCTCATATGACATTTAATGTTTTGTGACCACATTTGGTTCATTTTTCCCAAATGTCTTCGAAATGTTTGGTTTTTCACTAGACAAGGCAAGGTGTTTATTTAAAAAAAAATCATTTTCCAAGAGATTTACAAAAAAGTATTACCGTATGCAAGGGATGACAGCGATATAATTCGAAGTTTTTGGTTATCGGGGCCAGTCTGATCATGGGTATAAAAGCCATCCTGTTTTATTATATTATTATTAACACGTTTATTTATTTTCTCAGAACAATTGTTCCATTTGTTTCATCTTACTACTTCAATAGAGATGGTGTCGACACGAGTGACGGATTTTTAAATTTATTTGAACGACGCCATGTTACTATACTTGTCCATTTCAACACAGTCAAGTGAAGAAAAACACAGTCCAAGTCCACGCTAGTGGACATAAACGATTTGAACCGTCAATGTGAACTAGATCAAGTATAGAACTTTACATAGGATCATATACGATGAATATGGATTACAAAGTCTATTTCAAAATACCGTCACCAGTATCGACACCATTTGACATCAAAATTTTGACAGTAAAAATACGTGTCATTGTTGTTTACGTTTCATTGCTGTGGGTTTCTCGTGCCAAAAGACCCCCCATTACACATTCTTTCAGCGTCCAAATTGAAAGAATATCATTTTAAGGCATTTTTCTGATAAGTGCCTCTTCAGAGTCTAAGTTTTACACCGATTGATCAATGTCCTTGAAAATTTGACCAGATCTATTCCTCGTAGTGCCCAATCATCCCGTAAAGTCAGATTTTGAATTTCATGTCTTAGCAGGAAACCATCGTGTCACCAAAATGGTTGAAAAATGATCAAAAAATGTATGGATGTGGGTACTCCATTCGGACCAAAAAAAATTACACCGATGAACAGATATTGCTCAAAAACTAATCAGCACGTCTTCTAGTAGTCCCAAATCATCCTGCAAAGTCAGAATTTGAATTGAGTTTTTGGAACGACGCACATTAATATGCCCCAAAATCATCTTCAATCGTGTTTTCTACATGAAATATGCCTAGAAAACATGTTTTGGGATGACTTTAATTTTTTGGCCTAATACAATACCTTTCCTACACTAGGTGTGCGGAAAAGTAAAAAGTAGTAAAACCATTTTTGTGAAATAAAATACATAAATTATTTTAATAGATAGTCCATTTGACTAATGTGTAATTTACATTGTTTTATTGTCATTTTTCATTAGTTAGCTAGCATCTTTTTTGTTATTTTTCTTTTTCGTACATGGAATTAATTGTTCTAATTATTTTTTTTATAAAGGTTCATGATCACAAAATAGAATGATTTTTTGCGAGATGTTCTTCCCTTTGATTTATCGGCATTGGCATTCCTTATCACCTCAACTTCGGCGCGATCTGTAAATATGCATTTTACTTTTCCGCACACATAGTGTAAGGTGAAAAGTATTGTAATCGGTCAAAATTTTGAAAACTTCAGAAACATGTTTTCTGGACGTTTCTGAGGTTAGAGAACCCTAATCAGGCCGTTTTGAGCATGGTTTATGTTAATCTGTACGTCGTACGTCGTACGCAAAATTTGTTAGCAAGATTGCGCTCATCGTAGAAACTTAATTCAAAATCTGACTTTACATGATTGGGGGACCCGAGGAATAGAAATCATTAGATTTTGAGCGACTTTGGTTGATGGAAAAAAATGTAATGCCTGGAGTGAAAAACCTATGAAAAAGAGTCCAATTTTCGTCCAAAAGTCATACTTAATGTTGACCAGAACACTCAAAAATATGTACTGGGGGGTTTTTTGGCACGAGAAAACCGAATCCGTTATTTTTGAGATACAATCAATTTTTGATACAGTTTCCTTGAAAAAATCACAAAAAAAATGAATTTTTGTATGGGAGCCATGCCTGTATGCTATAATAATGAGGTGAAAATTTGCACAGACTAACATATTTTTTACACAAAAAAATAACATTCTGAAAGTTTGAAGAGATTTCAATTAAAATTAGGGGTACCTCTCATACAAAATTTTCAATTTTTGGTTCAAAAACGAATATTTTGTATGGGAGGTGCTCTTAATTTTGGTTGAAATTTCTCCAAACCCTCCGAATGTTTATTTTTTTGTGAAAAAAATAACCTGTACAAAGTTTCACGCCATTAAGGCAGCAAACAGACATGGCTCCCATACAAAAATCCAAATTTTTTGTGACTTTAGTTATGAAAAGTTTTTCAAAAATAATTTTTATGGCAAAATTAACGTCAGACATATTTTTATAGCGCTTTGTTAGAAAATAGAATACTTTCAAATTTCATACAAATGAGTTCATCATGATAGTGTGAAAAATCTTTTGCGAGTACATCTGCTATTAAATTAAAGAATATTTCGATGCCGAATATATATAGCTTGATAAAATACGCATCTACCACCGTGCGGAAAAGTTCGTCTTACTCCTGTAAGACTCTTTGTTGATACTTGTATTTAATGTATTGTGTCAATGATATCGGCGTCGGATCGGCGTCGGAATCGAAAAATGGCCGCCGTTGAGAACGCTGATGTTTACGAAATTACTTGGAAAGTTTGGATTTGGACTTTTTCAATTTTGATTCAGAATTTCCCTTTGGTGATTCAACAACCGGTTCCTTCCCTTTACCACTTGATTCACCTTTGACGCTATCATATTTTCCACTTGCTTGTCTTCTCATTGATAATTGTTTTATGCCAATATAGTCAGAAAGTGCCTCTTTGGAGCTGTTTCGAATAAATTCAGAGATAAGCAATATCAAACACACACAATATGATGAGTACTGAAATTCCATTTACTTTTTCACAAGGATATTTTTCGTACTTTCTCCCTTGAGATGATAATCACTTCCTACATCGACTCCCAGTTGCAGTGCCTTTCCACCTGGAACGTTTTCTAATACCTCCTTCGTTCTAAAGACGAATAATAAATATTGAATTCGAAATTGACGTTTACTCTCAAATTAGAAAACGACTGAAATGAACATAACACGTGGAGAATCTGGTATGCTCAGTTCAGCCGGTCTTTAAGAACTGTGATTGTTTGTACTTTTTTATAATAATATCTTGTGTTGATTCTCCTTTGAGATACCCATCTCCGAAGTCAATTCCAACTTTCAGTATCTGGCCTCCTGGCACGTGATCAAGCGCCTCTTTCGTTCTAAACGATAATAAATGTCATTCCAAATTCATTGAATAGAAAACAAAAATGTGGATTTGTGGATATTTTCCTACCGAGTGACTATCGTTATTCTTGCATCTTTGCCATCATACAAGTCTTTTACAAGAGCAACACCACTTGAAGAAACACCAACGATACTTTTATACGCATTGGAAGCACTGTTCGGAATTTGCATTAGAATTTATTTTTTAGACCATCTTTTTAATAAAAATATACTGTCGATACGACAGAAAATGTATTCGAATCACATCAGCGATCAGCATGACATTATTGCTAACTTTCGAGAAAAATCAAAAGGCAGTCGAACAATTTTTTCTACATTAACAAACCTGTTCTTAACTGATTCCGCCGCAGATTTGGATACCTCCTTAAGACTGTCTGTGCGCTTGAACGTTTTTGCTCCTTCAATGGCACTATGGATGAATCAAAAGCGTTAAAAATTCAAATGTCATTTAATTTTCAAGACTTTGTTTCTTACGCCCTGCCAATTTCAACGACTACTTTCGATTGAACTGGACCCACAAACAACCACAGTACAACATTTGCTCCGGTCAATGTAGCATTCCCCAATTTGTCTGGATCTTTTTCCATTTATTCTTTTAGATAAACAACGCCTTCTTTACCTCTGAAATTAAGAAATATTTTGAAGGCAATGAGAACATTTTAACAAGTTAAAAATCGAACAAAATTCAAGAAAAAGATGATTTTGCATCGTCGTTCTTCTTAATAATAATATCTCGTGGAGTTTCTCCCTTTAGATAATAATCAGATGATATATCGATGCCAACTTGCAATGCCTTTCCACCTGGAACGCCTTCCACAGAATTCTTGGCTCTAAAAATTAAAAATTGTTTCGATTAACTCAATAAATTTGAGTGACGAGTATATCTTACTTTTTAACAATTATCTCTTTTGTATTTAGGCCCTGATTATAACCATCTCCGAAGTCAATTGCAACTTTCAACACCTGGCCACCAGGAATGAAGTCTAACGCTTGCTTTGTTCTAGAAAATGAAGGTTAATAATATGAAAACATTCAATTTTGTTCAGGAAATTTCCTTTCGTACCGACTAAGAATGGAATCTCTGATAATTTTGCCATCATAAATGTCTTTCAAAAGACCTGCTCCGGCTGCAGTTAATCCTGCAGCTGTTTGAAGAACAGCAGCCGTGCTATTTAGGCGAAAAAAATACGTATTTTTAATAATATGCAAAAATATTTAAGGTCGATCACAAACCTATTTACACATGATTCTATTGCCGTTCCAGCTGCCTCTGATATATTCTCCGTTTCGCAGTACTTTCTTGTACCAGCGAGCGAACTACACGGAAAAAATTTATTTAAATTTGAGACGGAAATTATCGACGGAACGGGTTATTTCAACTTACGCCTTGCCAACTCCAACAGCAATAATTGCGGGGAATGGACCAATAGCCTTTTGCAAACCAAAAAATCCAAGTCCTCCCATCGAAGAACCATTCAGACGAGCTGCAAAACAGCAAACAATTGCAAAAATTAAGTAGCACTTCATTTTGTTTAGTCGTGTCTCAACTTCAATTGAACTTAACTGAAATATCAGTATGCTTTTATATGTGATTTCAGACACATTTCTTTTGATTTTTTGTTTCAAAAATAATATTATTGGTAATAAATAGTATTTATTAATTATTTACTTTTATAATTAATAAACATTCTAATCTTATTCATGTTAAGGAATTTAAATTAATGAATGATGATTTTTCGAATGTAAAATTCCAATACCTTGAATGATTCACAAGTCACGGAATTTGATATAAAATTGAGTTTGAAAGAAAATGTTTTTTTTTTTCGTGTGAATTGGTTTTATTTATTATTTATAAATAAAGAGAAATATTGAGTAAGGTTTGGGTTTTAAATACAGTTATTACGCAGGTTGTGTTTGTTTGGATAGAATATTATTTGAAATTGTGGAAAAGTTGTTGGCAATTGGAAATGATTCATTCTACATCGGCAATAATTGTCGATGAAGGAGTTTCGTTGGAAGTGCGTTTCACATTCGAACGAACGTATTTATTCGAGCCGACCTACTAACTATATTTGTTCGTTTCCATTGTACTTTCCTTTCCCTCTCTCGCTCCATCACTATCTAAAAGTGTTCGCTCGCTCGGTCGTTCAGAGATCAACAAAAGTCTTTTACTTTTTCGCACACATAGTATTGCAATCTCCCCAAATTTTTGAAATCGCTAAAAACGTTTTTCTTATGCGTCTTCTTGGGTTACAAAAAATACAAATCGCGATAATTTGAATTGTGAAATTGTGAAATTTGTGAATTAAAATGTGAAATTTTTGTATGTTTTGTCAGTAACTTCGGTACGAATAGTCATTTCTGGGGTAAAATCGGTCGCTGAATCCGAATCAAGCCTTAAAAATGAGCTACCCACTGTGAAAAACCACAATTTCTTCGAATTTTTGTGAACAATTGGTTAAAAAGTGCAATGGGTTGATTGTTATTTTTTTGATATTTTCAAGGCCAGATTCGGATTCAGCGCAAAAAATTATCCTAGAAATGATGGTGCATTCGATTTCAAAAATATCTGCTTCATACACTTTTTTTCGTTCGAAAGTCAAAAAATGACCAAAAAATGACATTTTTTCTACAATTTTAGCCAGTCGGTCCAAATTACTTTTTTAAAAAGTTTTTTCTATCTAATGATGCAAGTTGGATAGTTTTGGCAACCGGCCATCTGTGCCATCTTGTATTCCATAGTTGAACTCAATTTAGTTACAATGAATTGAATCGAAAAAGAGAAAAAAAACAACAACAGTAACATGGCTACATAGATCTGTTGATCAGTGAGATACGTATAACAATGGGATGAAAGAATGAAGAAAGCGTATATGTGTATGTTATGTATGCATCAGCACGCATAGATGTACAGCTCTGTGTGGCCGTGCTATTGTTGTTGTTTTTTCTCTTTTTCATTTCAATGCTACAGAATTAAATTCAGTTTTTCGATCTAATTCCAACTAATGTGAGGTGGCGCTGATCAGCTGCGTTCGCATAAAAAAGCTCCCAATCTCATATACGCCAACCCCGCTTGAGTTTTGGTCCATAATTTATTTTAAGCACTTGGGAGCAATGATCCAACATGTATGAGAGATTTGGGCCACCCTAATACTCATTCATAATCATTAATTACTCCGAACCAACGGAACAGAAACATTGGATATGTCAAACCTTGAATAACAACATACAAACAAAATACTATTCACATCAAAAACTTATAAACTTAAATAATTGAATTCCGTTTTGAATCTATAGTTTTCAACAATATCGAAGCCAATTGAAAATGAGGAAATAATAAAAAATACAATTTAAGCTTTTTAACTTAATTTTTTGTTAGTTTGAAAATTTAAATTTTTCTACCGAAATCTCGTTGTTTCGATTGTTGATTTGGCACTATTGCTGTTGCATCTGACTATTCTATTTCAACAGTTTCGTCGTTCCACTGCAACCATAGGTTTATTGTCCAATTTCAATGTAACTTCAAATTTAAGTTTTAGATCGGACATTTTAAGATCTGTTTTGAATTTGTAGTTTCGCAAAAGTTTTGTCAGTACCACTTTTACTGACATCAAAGCATATTGATAACCTGAAAGTAAGCAAAAAATTATAATTGGTCAAAATGAATTTCATTTGTCTAGAACGAAAACAAACCGATGCAATTCCTTGTTCCACCTTGTAAGTAGGCGAATGAATGTCTTTCGTTGGTATTATTATTTTATTATTTATTATTATTATTTATTTCACCGCCAAATGCTGGCTGAACTTAGGTGTTTTAACAATTTTAGGATTTCACAATCAAAGCAATAAGTTAAATATGAGTAATTAATTTGAGTTTTGATTTAAATAAGATAGGTAGGTGAATAAATAAGTAGTATATAGGATTTCTCAATATAAGGGATAGTAGATTCTATTTAATATCATTGTCAGGCACTTTCATCATCGTAAATAAGTGGCCTCTCAGAAAATCACAGCATATCATAATTTTAGTCCACGGATCAGGCCCAGATCTCCATATTACCCTCGATCGATCAACTGGGGTTGCGCTTTCGTTTTTTATTGTAATTGTCCGATAAAAAGAAAGCACAAACAAAAATTCTCCCTTTCTGTCACAGAATGGCCCATGGTCCAAATACTTCGTCTGGTAGTTGTAACAACTTTTGACGAAATTGAAAATGCGATAGTGATGGGTCAATAAACAAAGTTGCATAATTGAATGCCCTGCATGCATTATTGAATGGTGACATAGTCGTGTGCTCAGTAGAATATGTCTTTAGTCGGATAAATTCAGGATTCCTTAATGTTCTTTGTCCATTATTCAAATTTATTTGCGACATAAGATGAGGCGATTTATATTTGCCAGTAATGATGGAATGAATAAACAATACCGAAGCGTTCACTCTACGGCGAATAAGCGTGGATAATTCAAAATTCATGCAACGTTCGGTGTATGGTCGAAGAATATAGTCCCCGTTCATTTGACGAAGAAAATCACCGTTCAACAGCATAATTATTTGTTTCTGTGCGCTTTCTACTTGTCTTTTTTGTGTAGTATGATATGGTGACCAAATAGTGCTTGCGAACTCAAGATTTGAACGAACCAGCGCCATATATAAAATTCGTATTATGTCTTTGTCGAAATAGAAAGATTGTCGCTTTACAAATTGCAATGCTGCGTTCGCCTTATTACAAATGAATTCAATATGTGATTTAAAGCTTAGTTTTCTGTCGAGGATCACACCAAGATCGCGGATTTCATCCACACGTTCAATTATTTTGTCACGAATTGTATATTTATTCACTATGGGCGATCGTTTTGTATACAATGAAAACAGCTTACATTTGCTGTGATTAATTTTTAAGTCGTTATTGTCACACCAGTCCAAAAACATATTGATTGCTAACTGTAGTTTTTCCGAATCTCTATGATCTCTAATTTCCAATGCTAACTTCTTGTCATCGGCAAAATTTGAATTGTGAACGCCAGGCAGGTTAATATTAGAATCGTCAAAGAAAATGATGAATAATAATGGACCCAGAATAGTGCCCTGGCCAACACCCGATAAAACATCAATGAGATCAGATTTAGATGATCCTATTTTAACGTATTGCTTACGATTATTTAAGTAAGAAAATAGCCAATTTATGATGTCATTGGAGATACGAAATTTTGAGATTTTTTGAATAAGTTTGATTGGATTGACTGTGTCGAACGCCTTACTAATGTCAGCATAGAAAATATCAAGTTGAGTTTTATTTTCATAGGCCCTATGTGCCAGTGTAGTTATTTCCATGAGATTTGTCTCTATATTCCGATTTGATACGAAGCCATGCTGGGATGCCGATATTTTAGATGGAATTATAAGTTTGAGATAGTTATGCATAACCCTCTCAAAAACTTTGGCCAATCCAGGTAGTATATTTACTCCCCGGTAATTTTCGATGTCAGTTTTGCGCCCATTCTTGAATATGGGTATTATTTGACCCATCTTGAAGGCATCCGGATAGACTCCATTTCGAATGGATTTATTAAATAAGATACTCAATG